CTGCATCCTTTGGTTCGAGGGGCCTACACTCAACCCTCTTCGTGTCGTCTAATCTTGAGGCCGCTCTCTCCCCCGTTCTCTTCCTATGTGCATGCTTCTTCTTGACCTGAGATGTTGTACGCTCAACTCAGGTCCAACTTCCAGAGGCCGTCTCCAAGATAATGACCAGCGCTCATGGCAACCCCCTTCTTCTTTTCCTTCATCTCCTCTGTGCCCACCTCTAGTTGACCAATCAGGCAGATTTCTTCCTTCCCTTCGGCTTCGATGGCCACGATCTCGCCGGGTTTCACTTCGTCGTCCTTGTCCGGCAGCCAGCCGCCCTTGGAGGTCAAACCGGGCACCATGAGCGTTGCACCAGAGAGGACGAAACGAATGGCGCCGCGGTCGATCTTTATGCGCCTGAAGGCGTGGGGGTATTGGTGGACGAGTTTCAGGTGCGGGATGATGGGATCGTCCATGTGTTGGTAGAAGAGAGGGGTGTCGTCGAGCACGTACAGGGAGACCCGGTCAGGTCTGCAACAGTGTAAGAGGGAACATGTGTCGTGCCACGCAGTGAAGACGCTCACAGTTTCACAAGGTCCAGCTGACTCTTCTTGGGCATGATGTCGTCAATGTGCGGCTCTAACTTCGGGTACGTCTCGAGCACCTTGGCCCTGATGGCCCGCTGCACAGAGGACTTGACTTTGCTCTTCGGGCCCGCAGACAAGCTGCGTCGTCTCAGTTCTGCCTTGGACAGAGGGCCATGTCTGTACTTACTCCTTCTTGAACATCGTGGCGGACGTGTGATCGTAACAGTGACAGGGTTGTGTGGTAGTACACAAGATGGAGAGATGCCCGCACTTCAACTGCGGGCGATTGATCGAGGGAATCTATCGGCCAAGAAATCGCAGGCGGAAGAAGACATAGCGACTATTTACTCCCTACGATGGTTGCATTTCACTTGCGTCTGGCTCAGGGTCAGAGTATGGACGCGCTCACATCTTGATACAATCCCTAGCTAATTTGTGTGCTCACAATACCGTCTCTATCATTACGCAGATTTCTCGTGCAACTCCCCCGCTATGCATTCACCAAAACATCGCTTCATGGGCCACTTCCATCTGCCCGATCCATGACATATACTGGGCGTGTCGAATCGACTCAATCCCCTCTGATCTCCCAATCCCGCCTCCTGCTACTGCGGTTGCGATCTAGGCTCAGGTGCATACATTTTATTGACCCCTTATTCTGCGCCGTATCCCTGTTGGGAGTCCGTCCGTCGTCGACCCGGCAAGAGTCACCACTCGACGGTGTGAGGGAAGCTGGACATTCGCGAACACGTTTCCAGTGACGGCCCATCAGCAGCACCGTCGAGTGCATCGCACAGAGCTTCGGCCTCGGTGTCAATGTCGGCGGTACCGGTCACGCGGATGGCAGGTTGCAGCTTTCTCTTAGCCATCTTCTCGCAGCGTTGATGCTGAGCCAGGATGGCAAACAAGTCGATTGTGCGGCCTGCGATTAACTGTCAATGCTTGTCACCACCAGAAGTCGCACACAGGCTCTTACCTCCGCACTGATACGCAAAGTACCTTGGGCCCGTCGAGCTCTTTTCTTGCGTGCCTGATCTGGTCACGGCCATCAGTTCGTGCTCCAACATCCACTTCCGCTTCTCTAGAGTCTTTGCAGGAGCCACATGGCCTTCCTTCGCGTACAGGTCGCACCGGACCATGACTTCGGAGCTCGACCGGGGTAGAAGCACCATCGTGCACCACAGATCATCATCCAGCTCCTTGATGATACTCAACGGGCCCAGCAATCTCACGATCTTGGACTTGCGAAGAGCAGAAAACCACCCGAATGGACTCTGAGACCATTGTGCTTGATTGGAGAACTCATTGGCTGCAGGGCTGTCAGATTCAGCGTCTTTGGAGGCTCTAGTCCAACTCACCGACAGTCTTCCAATTCGTGCCGCATGTCACTTCCATTCCGTCGACCCAAGAACAGTTCCCGAGGTCGACATGAGACTTCACATTGTTGAAGGGGAGATTCATTGTACTGGCATCGAAGTTGACGAATACCAGCCCCTCTCTCGTCGCTATCAACTTGACCTCGAAGAGGCCATTCTCTTCGGGTACGAAACCTGGAGATTCGTCGAATTTGGGAGCCTTGACCAAGGCGCCCTTGTCGTCATACTGCCATCCATGATACTTGCACGAGAACCTTGTCGACGTGCCGCACGACTTTCGCACTACCGTATATGCTCGGTGCCGACAGACGTTGTGGAAAGCTCGCAGCTTTATGTCTTTGCCCAGGACCACGAAGAACGAGATTCCGGCCACATCGAATGCATGGTAGTCTCCGGGTTTCGAGAATCTGCTCTGGTGACAGACGAAGAGCCATGTCTTGCGAGCCGTCAGTGTTGGTCAGGCTGCTTGCGGAACTGCACCTCAGTTACCTTGCTGAAGAATGCCCGCTTCTCCAACTGGAAGATGTCTTCGTCCGACATGTCGTTCGGTTTCCTCAAGCTGCCTCTCTCTGCCTGGTCCCAAGCTTGAACTTGGTGCAAAAGATTGCTTCTCGTTGTGTTTGAGCCTCGGAAGGATACGACTGAAGAGATACGCAAAGCAGGGAATCAAAAGTGCGAAAACAGGCAGCGGATAGCTTAGTGCAGGAGCGGGCTTGAGTCCAGGTCCATGTCCAGATTTAGGAGCTTCGCCACAACAGTGGTGCTACAACTGTACGGCGTTCACGGTATATGAATTTCGACAACGAGGGCGACCTTATCATACGTTGATCACCCATTTGGTGTTCAAAGGCGTCTCGACAGCCCGGCCACCAGTCCAATGGAGAGTGAGCGCCAATCACAATGCACGAGAAACCATCCATGCCTTCGGATCCGAAGCACATGGAATTCTCTTTCGTCAATCACTCGCCGTGAGATCAAGGCTGACGCAGTCCTGGGTCAATCCGATCCCACCTTGGCTCAAATCGGTAATGCGATCCCGCAAAGCATTTGTCCCCTCTCCAACTTTCCAGAATTGCGGAAGTAGCCTTCGACCGCACGCAACATCAACCCAGTCAGATATGAGCACATGGATCGATGAATAATGGTGAGCACACTGACTTGGCCCGTGTCACACCCCATGCACACGGCAAGGGGTATGTGCCGACCACACGGCGGCGTCAACAGAGCTGGTCGGTATTCGAATACCTCTTTGGGAACTCGGAACGAACTCGAGACTTGTCACCACAGATTCAGCATCTGCGGACCACTAGAGTCGTGGAGGGATCTTATCTGAAGAAGAATGCTAGCTCTCCGTCCACAACGACAGCACAAGGCAGGTCCTCATCTCAGTCATGGATGCGACCAAGACACTCCCGGCGTCGTGGTATACTTCACAAAACCTGTACTCACTCGAACAGCGAGCAGTCTTTTACAAGGCATGGTATCTCGTCGGGGCCGTGCCCAGGTTTCCAGCTGGTGAGGAAGTCGAATATGAGTTTGCCCAAGTCGCCATCAGCGTTCGACACGACGGGAACGAGAATTTCGAGGTGACCAGGAAGTCTGATGTACGCTTCGTCGCGGTTGAACGCCCGCCTTCTTGTGAGCCATCACCTCTGATCTGATCATCTCGCAGGGCTTCGTACTCAATCACTACCTAACACCCACGGGTCTCTTGTTCACCACTATCGACTCTTCTGCACCGCCGTTCGAACAATGGTTCCCTCCGTCGCTGCTCGAACTCCTGTCCGGGTACAACTTCCGTCGTCTCCCGCACCGCCGCTCGATCAAATACCCCGGCAAGTTTAACTGGAAAACCATGGTCGACGGCTACCAAGAGTGCCTGCACTGCCAGTACACGCATCGCAGCTTCAGCGTCAAATACCCGCCCACCTTCTACGAAGTGCACAACCATGAAACGTATAGCCGACACATTGCCGATCCACAAAAGGCCAACGACGGCCTGTTCTTGTTCTTCTTCCCCATCTGCACTTTGAACCTGTACGGCGGCGGGATGAGCAGCTTCCGAGTCTGTCCCGGCGAGAAGGTCGGTGAAACGAGAATGGAGTTCGACTACTACTTCGATGACGGCAAAGGCGGCGTCGAGGGGTTCGAAGACTATTTCAACTTTGTCAGGAAGGTCGCGTTGGAGGATTTCGAACTCTGTGAAGTCGCCCAGGGGAACCTCGAAAGGGGTGTCTATTCGCAAGGCGTCTTGAATCAAACCAAGGAGAGTGGTGTGCTTCGTAAGTTCTTCACGCTTGCCAATGCGCGTGGACGGCACAGAGATCTCTAACACGCTCATGTTTGTGCCAGATTATCAACAACTGACCAGGAAGATGGTCGTTGAGAAGTTCAAGGAGGAAGAGGCCGAGCGTAATGTTTTGAGTCCTGCCGCCAGCAATCGAGCAAGCGGGGTTGGGCACGTCAGCGGCCAGGACGATGTTGCCGTGTCTGATTAACGCGAGCAGCGAGGGTGTCGTCTGGCTTGTAGGTGTAGAATTGTCCTTCACTGTTTTAGTGAGGTGAGAGCTCGCCGTGGTCTTTGTGGGCGGTGGAAGAGACAAAGAAGGTTCATACGCTCCGCCCGTTTGTATGGATTTAAAGCATTTTGCCTCCCAACGCCCTGTAGAGTGGATGACATGTTCTTTACTTAATCTTCATGTGGATTGACGATATTTTGCCTCCCATCATCCTGTAGAGTGGATGGCTTGCCACCGCCGTGCGTTATCAAAGTTGATGACATTTAGCCTCTTTGCTGTCCGTGTAAAGTTGACGACATGTTGCATTCTTGATCATCCTGTAGATTGACGACATGCCACCACCGTGTGTATCCAAAGTTGATGGCATTTTGCCTCGTTGCTGTCCGTGTAACGTTGACGATATGTTACACCCTCAATCATCCTGTAGGGTGGACAATATGCTGCCTCGTTGATCATCCTATAGATTGACGACATGCCACCACCGTGCGTATCCAAAGTTGACGACATCCACGATGAGATGACCGTGCTGACCAGTTTCACCCATCTCCCTCGACACGGCCTTGTTCCTTCGACGCTATTGCCGTGTCCGTGTCCGTGTCCGTGTCCGTGCCCCTCGCCTTCTGTTCCTCCTCCACTTTATCCAGCTGCCTTAGGATGAACGCGATGGTCGCGTCTCTCGCCTTCTCCAATTGTTTCAGCCTCGCGAGCGGCATGTCGGTATACTCTAGTTTCTTCGCTGGGGAAGAGACGACGGTCGTCGAGGGAGGTGCGGGTGATGATTCCGGCTTTATATCTCCCGTGCCAGTGCCAGTGCCAGTGCCAGCGTCAGTGCCAGCTACAGTGCCCGCCGACGCTTTCCCCTTCGTCATGTCGGCCAACAGCCCCCTCAGCACCACGATGCTGTTGTCCCTCTCAAGCAGTTGATTCGCGAGCCTCGTCCGTTCAGCTTCATCGTCTTGATCATGAGCAGCGGCGTTGTCGTCGCCAGCGCCATCAACCCTCGCCTTCTTGCTGCTACTGCTGCTGCCGCCGCTGCCGCCGCCGCTCACTAAATTTCCTTGCCCTTGCTGTCGGCCACCACCTAGACTATCAACCCACATCCTTATGGCCTCCCTAGCGCAATTCTCAATATGCGTGAACCGCACAGGCCCCAGCATGACGCCACCGTACCATCTCGCCACGACGATGACGCCCTCGACCTGCATGGACGAGAGCACCGCTTCGAGTCGTCGGCCCGCGTACTTTTCGCCGTCGTCGTCCGAGCCTGTGGTGAAAGTGGATGTGGATGTGGATGTGCTTCCCGCGGACTTGGAGCCGACTGCACCACCTGCACCAATGTGAAGCTGGAGGGTCTGTTGGGTGGATCGTCTCCGCCAGGCCACGATGCGATGTGACGCCGTGGAGAAGGAGGGGTGGGATTGTAGACTTTTTATGATCGTTGTTGTTGATGATGATTGTGGGTTTTGTGCGGTGCTCCTGCTGCTGTAGGTGCTTCCTTGCGGGGCAAACACGGACGACCCAGGATGGAAATGTGCTTGGAAAGTGGACTTGCGGTCTTGTATCACAGAGGAGATGAAGATTTGGGTCTGTTGAGTTTGTGATTGTGATTGTGATGAGGCATTGGTGTGTTTATCTTTCTGACGGTGGCTGTTGTTGTTGTTGTTGTCGTCGTCGTCGTCGTCGCGGTCATCATCGGAGTACAGGAGCCGGCGCTTTTTGGGATTCGATGCCGTGGATGTCGGTGTCATGGTGGGTTAATTAGTATGTGCGTGTTGTTTAGTCGTACCGCTGTACCGCTGTATGCTGTACCCGTGGACTTGAGACTCGTCTACTCGGCGACTCGTGTGCTTGTATGCTTTGTATGCTTGTACAATATTCGTACGGGTTTGATTGTCCTGACGGTCCTGACGGTCTTACGATGCGCACGGGACCTACTGGGTCTGTTTACCACTATACAGTCACAGGATGCCTGATGTTGGAGATGATGTGCCGCCGCGTTGAATCGTGGGATCAATTAGACTGTATTCCGCACAGTTGTTGGTGTGACGGTGTAAGTAATTAGTGAGCAACCACTGAGGTGCTGTTCCGGAGAAGGGGAGCTTTAGTCGCCGATGAAGCCGGGTAGCGAGCGCTATGAATATGCTGCGTGTTTCATATATGCGGGGATCGTGGTGGTACATACAGGATTGTAGTAGTTCTACATGAAGAGACATACTTTCAATTTTCACTGTCTGTGTGTGTGTGTGTGTGTGTGTGTGTGTGTGTGTGTGTGTGTGTGTGCCGGCACCATCAGCCCATGGATCACGGTGATACTGTTCATGTTTACGGAGTCAAGCCGTCCAAGGAGGGATGGTGCCGTGGGATCCTGTAATGGTACGGTGGGTAGGGAGTATATGCATCGTGCTCGTGGATGAGAGTGATGATAAGAGAGCTCTACATCCGTTGTTTGAAACAGAATACATTGTCGGTACTCACGCTCGATTTCATGTTCAACTCATCACTTCAAACGAAGTTCGTACTAATTAGTGAAGCAAACCGAAATCATCACCACGCTTGATGGCGATCCAAGGCATGTCATATTCATCCACCATAGCCTCGCAGATCAGCCAAGCCGGACGCCTCTCAACGCCACCATCCCCTGCTCTTGGTTGATTACCGTTTCATATCCAATTCGATTCATGTCGACGCCGGTATCCAAGGTCCACGCTTATGTTCGCGCTGTGCTCTCGCTCATGCCGACGTACCGCTCCTTCAGTTCATGTCCTCCCAGTCATCGTCCTCGTCTTCGTCAGAGTCATACTCCTCGTCGTCACCTTCTTCTTCTTCTTCTTCATCTTCATCGTCCGACGAAATTGCACATTCAGAGGCCGCTCCATTGGGTCCGATGTCGCGATAAGACATCTCAACCCTGCGGAACGTGCTGACCAGTCCCTGCTTTCCATCTCCCACTGTTTTGCCTTCACCACATTTCTTGTTCTTATTGTACGAGCTCGCTGCGCTGGAAGTGTTGGAAATGGTGGTTGAATCAGCGATGGTGAAGCCACGGACGACTCTCGTTCCGGTGACCGGGTCGGTGTATTCCGACGAGGCGTCCGTGATGGGCGTGCCAGGTGGGGTAGACGACAGAGTCCCAGATGAGGCGGAGGTGGTGACGATGTTCGCCGGCCAACGACGCTGCACCTTGGCCCTGACCTTGACCTTGGTGTTCAGGTACTGCTGCCAGATTTGCAGGTCGATGCCTACAGGTGGATTGTGTTCACCTAGGAAGCCAGCGATGATGTCGCCATCGAGTTTGAGTCGCTGTTCGAGGTAATTCAGTTGCCAGGATGCGGAGGCGTCAACGGCACGTCGATACCCTCCAAAGCCGGTCATTTGGGGCCAGGGAATCGCGATCCCTGGCTCCGAGTATGTCCTTTTGAGGTCGTCCAGGCTGCCCGATGGGACTGTGGTGACCGCTGGGGTGGATTGTGTGCGCTGCAGATTTGCCTCGTCGGGGCCTGCACCGTCACTGCCTTGTGTGGATGTGGGTGAAGAGGCGCTTGTGATCGGTCCGGAGCGAATGCTGTTGGTATTGCGCAAGTCTGAGAGGTCGGTCAGCAGGAAGCGGCGACACAGAACACACCGCACGTACGGGTTGATGACGCTGTCGTTGAGGCCTTTGTCACCTCTCTGACCAACTTGAGGTTGGCTTCGACGTGCTTGTACTTGCGCTCGAGCCGCTTGTACTCGCTGCACTCAGCCGCCGCGCTTCCGACAATGAGTCGGGTGACGGTGTCAAAGGAGAACATCGTTGGCGACGACGGGTGGTGTCGATGAGACGGCAATAAGGCGTTTAGAGGTGGAAATGAAGAGTTGAGGACGAGGTGTTCGAGAAGCGAAGCGCAGTGAGGTGGAAGTGAGGTCTTGAGGATGAAGGCGACGAGCAAGAACTCCCACGAGCGGTAGAGTCGACGAGTGAATGGTTGCTGTTGCGCACAATAGCACAATAGGTGCTGCGACTTGTTGAATAGGCAGTATTGCTCGTCCTTAACTTGCTTGATTGTCGTCCACCGCTCGGATTGCCGTGTCAATGGCGAGGGTGAGGTAGAATCCACGCAATCGACACGCAGCCATCCCCTCTTGTCGGTCGACTCTTTCTTTACCACAAGCTGTCGCGGGCCCTCGGGGTTCTCTCAGACTCAGCAGTGCCCTTCTGTACTGTACTGACTGCCTGCAACGGCCGGGCAGGGAGCGTTAACAGATCAAGCATTCAGCGGAGAGCGACGATGATATGAAAGGGCATCAACTTCACATTGCTGCAGACCGACGGTAAGACACAGCAGAATGCAGAGGCCAGACCACGAGAGGGAGGAACGTCTTACATGAAGGGTCGCCGTCTCTCTAAGTACTGAATGGCCCGGGTCATCAGCCAAAACATCCAAAGACCAAGTGTAGCGCGCAAGCAGGTCGCACAGGTTCCGGCCCGCGACTTTGCGCTGCCTGTGTTGTCAAGTGTCAGCTCTCTTTGTTTGAAAGGAAGCGGCAGCAATCTGCCACACCAGCACAGTCGCAATCAAGACGAGGTTGCTGCGCTCAGATACGAGAACCTGGGAGCGAGTACAACCACACCGACTGTCCTGCGCTGGTCTGCGAACGGTCGGGCCACACCACAAGATACAGGCGGCAGTACATCTGTATCTTCCAGGGGACTGAGCTCGCTTATCCGGCCAGGCAGTTTGTGCGACCTTGCACATGATTCATTCCTGAGATCATCCTCTGAAGGACGAGAACATGGGACATTGGAGGCTCGACCGGGTGCAGCAAGCGTAAGCGGCGACAGAGCTGGGAACTGAATCATCCTGATAAGTGTGTACACTGACAACCAGGCTCGATGGTCAGTTTGTCAAGCTGCTGGCCCGGCCGTCTGAGACAAGAGCCAGATTGTCTGCTTCAGACGGCGTAAGCCACCAAGCATGATACAATCATGGCGGGGCAAATCCGAGATCGCCTCTCAGACAAACGGTCCTAAATCTGGGATTCGCGATAGAAACCCCAGATCGAGAGTCTTCGCTTGCTGGAGGATGGAGGGCGAATTCATGGTTGAGCTGACGCACCCGGCCGTCGGGCATGGCATCCCGTTGTGCCCTGGACGGTCCTTTGCGCCGGGATGGCCGAATAAGCGGCCGCTGGAGATGGCAAACGCAAGCCAAACATTGACAGGTGTGACGGCCTGCTGAAGAATGCCAGTCGTGGCCTGCCCGCAAATCGTGGAGCCCCGCTACAAGGCACATGCACGCTGCTGCAGTTGTGCGGTAGGCGAAGGGGAAGGCGAAGGCGGAAGATGGAAGGGTTGGAAAGGACAGGGCCACCAGCTCGTGTTAATAGCTGAAGGGAAGCCTAATGGCATACACTGCAATGCCCGGAACAACGACCAGATGCCGCGCCGGGGACTCGATCACAGCTTCGTCCTTCTGTTGATGATTGCTCTTTAGCGAAGGGACCCGGTGTGCACAGAGAAGACTGTAGTAACAGCATAGTACACATTGACTGTACTGTGACTTCGCCTGTAGCCCCCATGCGTGTCGCTCCCTTCCAGCCCCTGTCTACAATCCCACTGCATTACTCTGTCCCAGTACAATACGAGGACCTCACCGCTGTCTTCCCCCCTTGGCGCGCCGATTACCGACCGATTCGCCGATCTTCAACCACGACAGAAACTTCCCAACGACAAAATAAAAGAAAAGCCAGGCAAAGCACGTCGGCAAGTATTTTGAACAGCCACAATCAACACCACCCCGCTACAATACCAGACGAGTCACGCTCCAGGCCGATAGTAGCATCCTCGAGACGTGGGACCGCATAACGTATTTGGCAACATCCAGGCCCGAATCAAAGAGCGTTACAACGGCCTCACCGCACGAACCATGGCAACGTAAGTACCACCCTCTCTTTACGCTGTGCGCCTCCCTCCCCTACATCAGGACACAGCATCTCTGTGCTATGTGTACGCTCGCAAGTGCATCGGGGATCCTTTTCTCGGATATGTTGACTCCCTTGAGACGTCCGCATCAGTCGTCCTGAAGCGCTGTTCAGCGCGCACCGTATTTGCAAAGTGGACTGGACCGACTGTGCTTTGCCTATGTAGTCTGTGCTCAACTATGCTATGCTATGCTCAACTCTGCTATACACGTCCTTGCCCCACCAATTTTGTTCCACATGCTTACACTTTACTCTTCATGACACTCCAGAAACATCCACTTCCACGCGAGCCCGCTGACGCCGGCCATCCGCGCGGGCCTGCTCAAACAGAGCGGCCTCACCATCTGGCTGACGGGCCTCTCGGCGTCGGGCAAGTCGACGATCGCGGTGGCGCTGGAACAAGCCCTGATCCGCAAGCCGTACACCAAGAACGCGTACCGGCTGGACGGCGACAACATCCGCTTCGGCCTGAACAAGGACCTGGGCTTCTCACCCAAGGACCGCGAGGAGAACATCCGCCGCATCGCCGAGGTGGCCAAGCTGTTTGCCGACTCGTGCACCATCGCCATCACGAGCTTCATCTCCCCCTACCGCGCCGACCGGGACATGGCGCGCGCCCTGCACGAGGCGCCCCGCCCCGGCGGCGAACCGGGCGTCCCCTTTGTCGAGGTCTGGATCGACGTCCCCGTCGAGGTGGCCGAGCAGCGGGACCCCAAGGGCCTGTACAAGAAGGCGAGGGAGGGCAAAATCCCAGAGTTCACCGGCATTAGTGCCCCGTATGAGGAGCCGCACAAGCCCGAGGTGCATATCAAGAGCGCCGAGACCAGCGTCGAGGAGAGCGTCAAGATCATCATCAAGTACCTCGAGGATAAGGGGTATTTGAGCACGCCTCCCGCCGTGGATGACGAGGAGTGAACTCGTCGAGTTGGGTTGGTTTAGGTACTGGCATGGGATGCCGTCCATAGATACAGCTCTAGAGCGACATGAAGACTGGGCATGTGGCACGTATCGTATGACAACGGAATAAAATGGCTGAAGTGCTGGACCAAGTGTAGGTGTATCCCGCATCAGCCAGCGTTGCTGTAGACCGCAAAGCCAGGGGTTGAATACTGATATACTCACTGTTCGTTCTTCGGTATTCATTCCTGCCTTTGCGAAACGGAACGCCAACCACAGTAAACAGTAACCAGTAGATAGTTGACGGTAGACGAAATATTCTCTATTCACACACGACCCATTCACATACATACACATATATGTGCAGTACGTCGCTATGCAGTGTAATGCAAGCACAGTCCCGGACCCTTGTCCGCCTTTCGAACAAAGAGCTCTACGGTGCACGCGGAACTACTACACTCTTACTCTTTTGCTCCCCTCGCAGCAGGAGCAGGAGCAGAAGTGTCGTCCCCTTCACCTACCCATCCGGACGGCCCCCTTTTCTTCGCTCGATCTCTTCCCTCGACGCCCTTCCCCCATTCGCCTGCTTTCTTGCCCCATCGCATCATCCCCCAAGCATGTTGCCATCCGAACTTTGGCGGCGGGTCAACACTCGTCCGAAACGGCGAGGCATCGTGTCTGAACGTGGACTCGATCTTTGGATCTGGATCGACGCCCGCGGTTCTGGGAACTTGATCAGGTGCAGCGTGAGCTCCTGTCTTTACATCAGCATCGGCATCAACCTCATCGCGCGTGGTCGCAGCCCTTTCCCAGAACCGCCCCTCGCGATGGATTGGTCGCCACCATTCTGGCACTTCTCCCTCCCTCGCTTCACCTTCGGCTTCACCTCCGGCTTCACCATGAGCTCCACCTTCTGGCTGTCCAACACCATTAAGCCCAGCCAGACGCTCATCCCACCACCTCCGCCCGCACATCTCCCACAGTCGCGATCTCGCGCGTTTGTACGCGAAGCGTTCATCCTCGCCCGTCAGCGCCGACGTGCTCGTAAAGTCCGGACCCCGGCCCGCCGTCATCCCGCGCTCGTCGGTGAAGGACGTCGAGTCTGAGATGCCGTGCCCTCGTCCGTTGCCGTACGTGGGGCCGAAATCGGCGTCCTCGTCCGCCAACACGGTCCGCACATTGGGGTTCGCCAACGAGGGTGTGAACGACGGGGGTGTCGAACTGCGGGTATTCCCCTCTGTGTACGTCGTGATATTGGGCCGGAAGGGGGCCGTGCTCTCTTGATAGATCTCGGAGAATGCCTCGGACGTGATGGAGTCGTCGGATTCGGATTCGGATCCAGATTCGTGTTCGTCGAGAGGATTCTCCGCCAAGAGTGTGCCTTCCCCGGTGCTGGCCGTCGTTGTCGATCTGGCTCGTGTCTCGGGGAAGAAGAGTTTATCAGGCGGGGCGTCGGCCTGGACGACGAGTCGGCACCGGGCTTCGTACAACGCGTCAAGAAGGGTGATGAATCTGCGAGCTTCGTTCTTGTGCGCCGACGTCAGCACCGGGACCTCCGTCAGGATGAGCGTGTGGAATGTCGAGCACAGAGTCACGTAGTCTGCTGGGCCGAGGTAGACGGCGCAGAGGTCGCGGAACGATGACTTCAGGATGCGGTTGTGCGTGGTCCGCATGTGCAGGGCGCGTGCGTAGACTGTGAGATTCGCGGGATGCCATGTCCCTGAGGGGTTGAGGACGCGGATGTCGTTTTCGAAGGATACATCACTCGGGGCGCCAGGGATATTGACGTGGTAGTGTGCCGGCGAGTCGGACGACAGTGGCCTCGTCGACGAGGCGAGTGTCGTGACCGTGGTCCTGGTTCTGGTCATGCCCTGGGTCTGCTTTTGAAGCGCTGCATCATTTTGTTCGTGCTCGTGCTCCTGTTTCTGTTCTTGTTCAAGCCCATCCACCACCTCCGCCCGATCATCGCCCTCCCTCCGCCAGTCCCGCTCCCCCTCCATTTCCCAGACCTCACACCTCGCCCTGAGGACATCGAGAAACAACCCAAAGTCCGTCTTGGCTGCTCTCTCGCCCTCACTCTCCCGACTCAGGCCCCAACCGAGCCCGAAGAACCCACCACTGGCACCGACACCTCCCCTCCCGGAACTGTTCGCGGCATGTGCAGCCCCAAACTCCACGCCCGCGGCTTTGCTCAACTCCTCCGGCATACGATTCGAGCTCGCGACTAACACGCCGCCGAGGTGGAAAAACGCCGTGAAGAACCCATTGATCAACTTGGCGGCCACCCTGTCGGGCATTTGAAACTCATCCAGGAACAAGATCGGAGACTCGGCGACCGTATCCTTTGCTAGCCGGAGAACGACGTGCTCGTGGGCACTCGCACCGCTGCCACCACCACCGCCAAACAGACTTCTTCGCGGGTTCCGTAGACCGTCCAGACCGTCCAGCCTAGCCAGCTCGATGCGCCGGAAGACATCCAGCATGAACGTGTTGTAGTGCCAGCGGCGTTTCTTGCGCGACGGCAACGAATCGTACAGCATGTCCAGGAGCATGGACTTGCCGCGGCCCACTTCGCCGTACAGGAGCAAGCCTCGGGGTGAAGGGATGGAGACGGCCGAGTCATGAAGCGGGGTCGTGCGCGTCAATGCTAACGTGTCGGCGGCAGTGAGAAAGCTCGAGGGGGAGGTGAACGAGAGGAGGGCCGAGAGGGCGCTCTTCTTGGTGGTCCTCTCCGCCCCCGTGGACTTTGACCCCGACTCTGACTCACTGGCATGTCGGGGATGAGGGTCGGCACGCCTGGGTAGGTCCCGGGTGATTGTCTCCAGACGGTACCGGTACTCGACTTCGGGGGCGTAGTCCTTGAGGCGGAAGTAGAGTTTTTGCAGGTGTAGAGCCAGACGATGTTGCGCCGGGTCGGGCTTGATTTTCTGGGTCGCCAGTAATGCACGGTAGAGGATTAGGGGGTTGGTGATGCTCAGGCTGAGGGTCTGGCGTGGTAGCCGTGCCGGCATGGATATGGATGCCGATGATGCCGCGGTGGTGGGAGGAGAGGGTGGTGGGGACGTCGAGTCTGTATCTCGTACATCTATGGAGAGATCTACCTTGTATCAATGGGATTGCGTTGTTATCGGGAGAGGCGAGGGAACAGAAGAAGCATTGGCATATGAAGTGACGTCTGGCTTCTCCATTACGATCGGTATCGTTCAACTTGTGGTGCTGTATCTCAATCAACGCTGGTTGTCGTCTGCCTCGCCGGAGTGCGCATGCTTGACCGGAGTTCATCAGACACAATCACTCCCGTCACTACAACAGACGCACAGGAGATAGAACCAATCACGAACAAGAAAACTCGATTGCCTGGGGGTCTGTACAGATCCGTGGCAGTATTCATCACCGACGACGGGATAATTCCCACAGCTGAACATATCTCAATCAGTCAAGAAGGTCAAGACTGTCCACACCCTGTTCAAGCCCACTCTCTGTGACCTCTCTTAGACTCGATGCCGTGCTGGCCTTCTTCCTCGGTCTTCCTTTCGCGCCCGTTTTCTTCTTCGCACGACCAGCACTATCGACAGCGCTGGGCGGGGGCGCCTCGAGAATCCATTCGACAAGCGCTTCCGCTCGCTCCGTCGTGATGGGATACTCGCTCCCGTCTTCTTGCGCCCATCGCTTCGGATCGGCGGGGAGAGCCTCTCCCTGGACACCTTTCTGATCTGTCGGCCCACCTTCAATTAACTTGGTGCCGCTGGCATCTTTTCTCGCCTGCTCCTCTTCGTCTCGCGCAGCTCTCAGTTCCCTGGCCTTGAAGCTGGCCCTGAAGGACTCTTCATCCACCACTCTTTCATCCGCCAGCGCTTCGAGCAGGGCTTCTTGTTTGATTCTGGCCTTCTTGTCCTCCGGCGTCTCTTTAGGAGCCGTCTTGCGGCCCGGAAAAGGTGTGGGAGTACACAGCTTGTCCCAGGTAGATGACAGGCCCAGCCAATTCTTTGTTCGCCGCAGGATCTCGACCCAGTCTGCGCGGGCAGGCGAACGTGCAGCTAGGAAGATCGGATATCCGTCGCAAACTCGCACGAGACGTGCAACCATATGGGCATGTCGCTGGAGCTCTTTGCTCGATGTCTGGATAAGACAGTGGCATAGAAGCACCGAGTGGAGTACGTCTGTGAGAAGGGGATGATATGTGACTGCTTCGGAGAAGTCAGGTAAGGAGAAGATCGGATGATCCTGATCGACCTGCGTATCCCGGTCCGAGGGGTAAGGAGGCAAGTTGGCTACAGGCACCGCTGCAAACAGCTCGTTCAACCTGTAAATTATCGGTTTGGGTATCTGAGGCAACGGGTGGTGCTTTGTCTGGGGGTCTCTCTGACTCTCATATTTCACGAGCGCCTCTGATAACCCAGCGTGGGCGTGAGCATGGGCAGCATCCACGTCCAGCAGCTTCTCGCTCCGCGACCCGCGTCCTTGCGGGCGGCGTGAGCTCACTCTCTCCAGGAATGCATCTGTGTACTCCGCCGACAGGCCAGGCGTGTAGTCGAAGTGTGACAGAAAAGCGAGATAGTCACGCAGAGCTCTTTTGGCGTATGTGCGAACCAGCCTTCGTGCATCGGCGCGAAAACTCGCCAGTTCCTCTTCTGCAAGCGCTGAGGCGGAAACACCGCTGCCATTGCCATTATGCTGCGCCCCACCACTCCGTAACCCGTACAGAGCCCGTCGAATGTTGTCGCATGCAAGCGTCAGGTACGCTCCAGCTCGGTGGAAGAGCAGTTGGGGCTCCAGGCTGTTCGGGTGGTCCTTCTCCTCCAGTCGACCCTCTGTGCGCTGGTCCCGACCCAATCCGGCGGAATCTTTGGCCAGGACCAAGTCCTGCTGCTCGTTTTGATGTTGTGAATGGTAGAGCCTGTGCACGGCGAGCCCATCGGTACAGTCTCGCACCACGCCCTCGAAGTCGTCCTTGAACATGCGAGCGACGGACCTTGTTCTGTAGGGTGAAGGGTCGGTGGGATTCTGACGGATCACGTCGGTCAGAGGCTCCAGGCTGGTGTACTCGGCCACAGCCATGGAGGGGATCTTCTCGTGGAAGAAATGAACGAATTGTGCGTCGGCGTTCCGCTCGTCGCGCTGTAGGACGTGTTTGGCAACATCCTCCAACGCCGAGGCCGACTGCATCATGGCGACACTGGAGGCGATCTCGTCGAGGCGATATGCGTGGGCTAGTTTCTGCGTTGCATGTTCGCGCATTCGGTGCTTCCTCTCGCGGCTCAGTTTCGCATGCCCGCCACCGCCTCTTGCAGATCCGATCCCGAGAATCTCTGCATCTGCGCCATTAAAGATTCCATTGGTCGCATTCTGCGATGTGTACAAGGACGCAGACGTGGTGCCGTTGGCGGCGCGCACAGCCAGACTCGTAGCGTCATCGATCAACCGCCTGATCTTGACCAGGTCGAAGAAGACAGCAGGATCGATCGGCCGGGGACGAGGAGAATAGTAGTTGCTATGAGCCAGGCTGTCGAGCACTTCGGGGGGAAGATTGAGCCATCTACCAAGACGTCAGCAGCGGTACGGCGTGGACATGAGGTATATTAGGGCGACAACAATACAGCTCCACAAGCTGTTGCTTGCTTGATGTGTGCGGCGGGTGGAACAAAAGAGGTTGTGAAGGCTGTGTGCAACTTACGGCCCGGAGTAGGACGAGATGTGTCTGGTATGCTTGTTGCGACATATGATCAGGGTGGGAGACACTGACAGCTCAGGCGCAGGCCGCGCTTTGCCATTCAATGCCTTTTGCGGCGCGGGTAGAGGCGATGGTGCTGGATCTGAAGGATACTGTTCACCGGTGTTGGTGTCACCCGCAACGTCGGGAGGTTGACTTGTCGGCTGCGTCGAAGTGGAAGCCTTGGGCTTCCTCCTGGTCATGATCTGTTTGGCCAGTGTCTGATCGCGGCCAGAACCAAGACCAATGCAGATAACTGTTGACGGGATGACAGGACTTTTGGCACCAAGGAGAATGCTGCAGCACTTCGCGTCGTGGGGCGATTCACTCCGGGGTCCGCATATGTTTTGGGGGCCGCTGAATGAATGGTCTCTCACCTGTCACTCAGATTCACTTCAGATTGTCTTTCATGTCCTCTCACTGAGATGTAAGCAATACAATGCGATATTTGATACGCTTAATAGTGCAGTGCAGAGCTGAGCCGACGGAGATGAAGATTCGAATGGCTGCACGGCCAAAGGAATGTGGTCAGTATTAATTAGGCCTACAGCTATTCCTCACGTCCATTGCGATCACCACCGCCTCTCGCACCTTCTCCATGATTAACATTGTACTCTTCTGTGAAGCCATCCTGCGCCTCCCGCTCGACCTCATCTGCGAGTAGGAGCTCCACCATCGGCAGGAGGAATGACCTGGTACCCAGTATCCAGACCCCAAGCAATGCTGTTGAACTCCAGGTCGACGGCGGATATCTGGAGCGAAGGTGTGATGGTGAAGAGATTGAAGCCCTTGACCTCATATTCACCGGTGCCGATCCCGAGGAAGTTCCAATACCAGAGGATCTTGGTGCAACCGGCCACGAGGATCTCGATCGTGGTAATGCCTTCCACAGGAGGTGAATTCAACACCCCTTCGATATACCCGTCTTTACCCTGAAAGGTCACAGTGCCGAGCTGTTGTAAAAAGCTTGTTAGACTGCAGGAAATATTGCCGAGAATGGCAAGTGTGTCTACTCACCGGCTGTCCCTCGAGTGACAGGATCGAGTCGCTTGTCTCGGTATAGCCTGGGTCGAGAAGTGCTTGGGCAGTCGCATTGGCGGCAGCCACGTCTCCATGTTCGAGGATTGAGATGTATCTTTGAGGATGTCAGACCGCGTTTCAGCTAGAGGATGGAGCAGCGCAGTGTTCGAAGGGGGGCCCATCCTCGTATTGGGCTCGGTTGGCGCACCATGGGGCCAAGAGTGACAACTTACTGGCTGATAATCGACTCGGCCTGTGCTTGGGAGAGGCAGCCTTGCTGACAGTCAGTACGCTTAGGGGTTGCGAGGGCCACGACGCCGGCGGCGAGCGCCAATGGCGCAAGGAACAATGACAGTTTCATGGTCGACGAGGCCGATGAGCGAGTGGAAGTTTGGCGTCAAGGATGGCAGCAATGGAGAGGCAAGGACTTTCAAAGGTAATGCTCTTGCAGGTCAGGTTGACGGCAGCTACCTCCAGAAGACAGCCCTTCCTCGGACATTTATAGCTGAGCTCCCAGCCGCATGCCATGCTTGAGGCCCTGCGGGCGGATATGCATGAGCTTCCCCTCCTGCCTGGTCGAGAGCTTACCTGCAAGGCAGCATGCAAAGCTCATAGACATACATACACAACCCGCTTGCGACCGCTCCGACGCATCGAGAGGGCAGCCTGGGATTGGTCAGACGTGGATGGAGTCAGTGACCACAGTCCCAATGATGATGGGAGGAGGAAGTGTGAGTGGCGATCTCACGGTGCCGTGATTATCAAAGTCTGCCTTAGCTATTCCCGCGACGGAGGGCTGGCACCTTGAAGCTCGCTCGGTTGAGCTTGAGCGGGCTTGACATTGGTTGAGGCGTTCCAATCCAGCGCGACAATGACGAGGTTTCGTTGCCTGACCCCTGAGGAGATGATCTACAAGGCAGAGCAGACCAGATGGTCGACGACTCCGGCATCACCGATGTTCCGTGAGTCGCTAAGAGCAAGATCGCTGCAACAAGCCAAAGGACATTCCGCGGTGTCAGTCTGAACTGAGATGAGATCCTCCCAGGGAGACATACGGGACCGTACCGCAAAGTGTCGGTCCACGCCTGAGCGCCCTCAGTCGACTGATCCCGAGAAAGCTGGGGATGTCGAAGAGGCTTTCGCAGCTGCCGGATCTGTCGAAGCTCTGGCGGCGTTGAGGGGGAATAGTCGTTGTAGAAACCCCCGTTGAGAACGACAGACAGTGTTGATGTCATGACTTTAAGCCATGCAGCTTCCAGCCCAAACAAACCCCTGTGGACAGCGACTAGCCGCAACCGCTGCCGAGCCAGGGATACCAATGACTTCTGTACGTACCGTGGTACATGGTGGCGCTGCTGCAGGAGACTGGCCTGTCCGCTCGGCCTGGCCTGGCCACATATATACTGTCACGGCTGTGTAGTCGCGTGGGAAATTGGTCGCAGCACACATTTCGATTCTCTGGGGAAAAACATCGATGTCGTTAGAACTGCCTCTGAGATCAGCAAGGCACGACGCCCGCCAAGCTGGTGAGCCCGCGCAGATCATGAGCATGTCAAGCTTCTGGGCATCGTCTCGAAGTCCATCTGTTCATCGTCCCGTGTGTCTCACTTGTGGAGGCTTCATTCATCCGAAGGCGTGCATTAGAGCGAAGCGTGTGCGTGCGTCTGTGCCTGTCCAGCCACCACGTTCTGGCTCTCCACTCCGGGGTTCCGGAGATCGAGTGTCCCAATAGGCCCGATCAGGGGCATTTACAGAGTACTCCATGCATACTGTACGGAGGACATACTCCCATAGCAAAGGTACGACTACTAAGCCTGTGCGGAGTACGAGTATCCATGCAGCTCTTGTACTCTGTACTCCATATCGAGGCAAGCTCCACCACCATCTCGCCGCCGCTGAGAGCTTGATACAGAGTATTGAGCAGAGTTAGAGTACGGACTACAGAGACAAGCATTCTCTGTCGGGCGATGGGCTTTCGCTGACATGGGAACCGACTTGTACCTCTTACTCCTCGGCGACTCTCTGTTGTACATATACCCACCCTGTCTACAATGCGAGTAAGTACATAGCATAAACATACCATACCATATACAACAGACCTCGACGCTGGTCACAACTGCAAGACAAGACCATCGTGGTCCTAATTCTCGCCATAAGACGAACAGCCCTGATCACTCATCACGCCGACACACACAACTTTTCGTCCCGGTGGCCTGGTACCATAGTGGCCGTGTCATACTCGTAAATCCAAGACAAGCCGCCCTCGTCGCCGACCCAGAGAAAGTAAGCCCACATCAACCACTCCTTGACGAGCTGCTGCAGCGTGCCGACCGAATGCTTCCTCATATCGCCGCCCTTGGCAGTGAAGGCCAGGATCTTCTTGACCCGCTCCCGCCGTACAGACTGCCACCGTGACAAGGCGTCTGTTGCTCGAGCCGCGGACTCGTCCTCTTTCCCCGTCTCGTCCATTTTCAGCGCGCTCAGCGTGTCAGCAAGGGTGAGGGCGTCTTCAAAGGCCATCGCGGCCCCTTGACCGCCTGTTGGCGGCATTGCGTGCGCGGCGTCGCCTATCACAATGACTCTGCCGGATTTGCTGGACCAGGAGCTCAACTCGGGGACCTTGTAGTAGCTATTTCGTATGCAGTAGGTCAAAAGTTAGTAAGGTTCAATCATCGACTAGGGTACATACGAGGGATCCGTAGTTGTCTTGGAGGGGGCGACTTCAAGGTTCAAGGTTCAAGTTTCGAGCCGGAGCTGGATCTGGAGCTGGATTCACACTTACGGCCACAGAGTGAGTGTCTCGACGTCGATATTCTTCGACGCGGCGTGGACCAGGTCAGGCCATCTCTCGTTCTCATGGTGCTTCTGCAGAGTCGCGTACAAGGCCGTCTTGTCGTTCTGGAGCTTGTTCCACTCTCCACGCGATCGGTCGTCGCCTTCCACGGTTGCGAAGCACCCGACCCGGTCTCCGGTGTAGGTACACGGCCTGTGTCAGTCATTGTTAGCGTCGGGCCAGATCATGCGTCGTGGTCCTCGAGGGCTTGAGTATCAGGGTGTGTGGCTCTGGCTGAATCAGACCAGTCCAGTCCAGCCAAGGGCACTATCCAGCACAGCAAAGTCACCTCACTTACATGAACATGAAAGAGTTGAGCTTCCCCAAGATCAAACACGGCATGTATACATTCTGACCCACCATCCCGAGTCGCGACCTGGGTAAACTCCCCCCCACGCCCAACTGGCCACTAAAAGTCGGCACGGCACCAGGATCAAGGTACGCCCTCACGCGCGAATGGATCCCATCGGCTCCGACCAGGAAATCAGCCTCTTCGGTGCGCCCGTCCGCAAACATGGCGACGACGGTGCCGCGCTCCGTCTCCCGGATGGCGACACACCGCGCATTGTAATGCACGGGGATGCCGTGCTCGTGGAGAGCCTCCACCAGCGTCTGGCGCACAATGCCCCGCGAGACGCGCAGCGCTTTATACCCGTACCGGTGCTGGCTGCCGTTCAGGATGGTGCCGATGTGACTGAGGTTGCGCGACGAGAGGAATTGAAAGGCCTCGTAATTCCACCCTTGCTTGGCCACGCGGTCGTAGACGTCGATCCGGTCGAGCGCGCGGAGGGCATTGGGCGCCAGCGCGACGAAGCCGCCGTCAAAACCCGTCTTGTCGCGGAGATCGAATATCGCGCATGAGATGTCGTGTCTGTGCAAGGCGAGCGCCAGTGCGGGTCCCTAGCCGGTGAATATGTATTAGAACGAGACGGACGGTAGTGGCGGGTGTGTTGGTGCTGTGTTCGAGTCTTGATGCATGTAACGTACATACCGCCAGGCCGGTGCCAATGATAATGACTTTCATTGTGACGATTCGGAGATGCACGGCTCGACAATGCTGAGGACAGGACAGTCGTAGGCACTGCAAATAGCAGTACGGCAGATTATGAGCAGCAGGACTTACGGCTGAGGATATGGAGTTGATGTGTATCACCCGGTGCGAGGACCAGCAGCAGTATTTGTAGACTCGACATTGCTCGATGATACTCTCCGTCGAGACACCAGCAGCGATGCGCGACGACGGCTGTGCATCTCGAATGTACTCCTGAAACTTCTTCGCTTCGTATCATATGGCCAGAAGGGCGGCAGGTAAAGGGCACGAAACTTCCCACCCCCAACGCGACAGGCTGATTCGCTCACTACGTCTCTTGGGACAGCCGAAAATAGGCGAGAAGGAATGGATGGCAAGCGAGTAGTTAGTCGAATGAAGGAGTCGACGCGAGCTGAGAAAGACAAGAAGAAAGCTTGTAGTGTTGATCCGAATGCAGCATCTCCATCCGACGAAGCGACGCCTTCAAAAGCAACTCCCGTATCCATAGATGGTATCGTATCCTCCGAGGTCTCGTTTCTCAAAGACACAGAATCGACCTCAGAACATGCTCCAGCTTCTCTTCGCACGACGTTGAGCTCATTCGTCTGGCCCGCCAGGCGACATACCGGTCGGGTCTCACCAGTATGCATCCGTCTTCATCAACCTCTCTCCTCTTCGTCCAGTCTCGATACTTGTCGGCATAGTCGAGGCCAAAGCCGACAGCAAAGGCATTGATCTGGATTCCAAGCCTGTTGCCCACAGACTTGGCAGCCTCCGTCCATGGCTCACCGCCGTGGCCCGTGAACAGGGAAAATGAATTCTTGCCAGCCAAGTCGACGGTCGATATCTCTTTGCTGGGCACACCCTTGCCCTTGCTCAACCACGCATGGGGTAGTCGAAAGCCAGGATATGTGCTGACCCGGACTTGGGTGAGGAAATTGCCCGTGAAGGGCTCCAAAGGCCCTTCGTCCTCCAGGTACAGAGCACTCGACTTGTACCACTGGTTCATCATCATGCCGAGACTATCGCCTTCCCCTCGGTGTCGTTCCATGGCGTCGAAAAGTGCCTGGCGACGTCTCTTTCCTGCTTCCGAAGCCTCGGATAGCTCTTTGTTGGCTTTGATCCGTTTCTCCTTGTCTTGTTCGAACATCCCAATAGCACCCCATACCGTCGCTGCAATGTTGTCAGCAGCGAGCAAGAGTACTGACACAAGCTGGAGAAGAAACGAAAGCTACAGCGTCACATATATGGGCTCGGGGAACAAGCTCACCATGATTGCGAAGAAGCTCATTCGACCACTTCACCAAGGCTTGCCCAACAGGCTGGCGTTCTGCATTATAGGTCTGCAGTAACACTGGAGAAGCCTTTCCTTTGAGAACCATCGCCACTTTCCATGCCAGGTTGTAGGCATCTTGAATACACGTGTTGCTGCCGAGGCCGCTGCATCGGTGTCAGCAGCCAAGCACGATATCAGGACGATCAGACCCGGGATCCTGACTCATCAGGTAAATGTCCATGAGGCCACTCACAAAATCGGTGGATGTCGGTGCACTGCATCCCCGAGACAGAATCTGACGGGTCTTAGAACTCCTCTTCCACACCTGCATTCCTGAAGACTCACACGTTCTGCTTCGAGTAAGACTCGGCAACTGTTTCATTGACTCTCCAGCTCGAGATATCCAGCACCTCGAATGGGATCTCATCATTGCCTATCGTCGCTCGTAGCAAATCTTCCACCTGGCCCGTAGCTTTGGCATCGGACCCAAAGGCCTTGATATCAACCCCAGGTTTGGGAAATACCACCAGCATCCACTTGTCCCAAGGTCGTACCATGCGCAAAACCGGGGCGATCCCATGTTCAAGTTCCGTGTCCGGCTGCATTATCCAATGCAGGTGGCCTGTCTGATGACGCATGATGTCGGCTAAATCTGCATTGAAGAGGATATTGTACGCCACCCCTCCGGAAGGCTGGATATTGTAGGAGAGGTCAACCTTGGCCGCCACAGGGCTCCGGGCACCATCACAGCCAAAGAGATACCGCGAACGGATCTTGAACTTCTGGCCGGTCGCCTTGCTGATGACGCTCGTCAGGCAGCCCCGTGAGTCTTGCTCTAGGTCTTGGAAGCTTGTATTGAAAAGACAAATCACCCCGTGGGTAGTCGCGTAACGGACGAGAATCGGCTCGAGCGACGACTGCGGAAGGTCCAAAGACGCACAGGGACTCAAGTCCGCCACTTCTCCCTGTCGCAGGGCGTCAGCTGCTGATGGTGTACGCGCACTGAGAGACGCACCGATTTCGCGGGCCCAGCACCCCACGCGTGAATGCGCCCATACTCAACACCGCTCATGGAATAGCACCAACGGATGGAATCGAGGCAATCCCCTCGGTTTCCAAGGCGGAGACACTCGTCCTCCAGGTCAAGATCACGCATGCATTCTAGCTTCCGTTAACCGAGGACGACGAGCCTGCACGAGTATGAGAGGTCCATACCAAGACCCGCCATGTTGACCAGATGCGCTCGGGGCGTCGCGGTTGTGCCCGGAGCGTCGGATATGAGCATCACTTTCACACCTTCCAGCACTCGGGTCAGCACTTGCTTGCCCAACGGGGCACATCACAAGTCAACAAACCATAATTCACGAGGAAGCAGGCCAGAGATGCGCCAGCTGGTCCAGCCCCGACGATCAAGCAGTCTGTTTCCACGCTGGCATTGGGCATCGGAACGTTCTGTGACATTTTCAGATTCGTAGTAAGTGCGACTCTGTTGCTTTGAGAAGTGAGATAGGACGGCTCCGGACCAGTAAAAGAGTGTCGTGGACGTCCAGAAGCAATATTAATTGCTGAAGTCAAGTAGTGAATAGACGGGAGGGGATGACGGTGTATTTGAATGGGCCTGATGAAGCCTTGTGCGAAGCAGCCAGCAATGACTCGGAACGCCCCTCTCTCGTCGCCACCCAGAGCGGTCGGTTGTGATTGCCGGTATTACCATACACGATACTCTCACGCTCGACGACAGTGGGATCATGCGTTGGAGGCCTCACCGTGAGAAGGGAAGCTAAACGGGGTCAATACTAGGAGGAAAGATGCCGCTTTCTGACATACGTCGTGTGTACTAGTACAGAACTCGATATTGTACACAGTCACCATATCATGTCGGCGAGCTTGGTGCATCGTTCGATGGCTCAGGCATCCGAGCAGGATTAGATGAGCCAATGGTTCGTGCTGTCGCTGACACAAATCAACGCGAAATTGGTCCGGCCAGCAATATACAAGACATACCGAGCTGAGCTGATATTGCTGATACTGTATTCGGCCACTTTCCAGCAGTGACGATGCCGCCTTGGGTCGCACAGTCGTGAGTTGCAGCTAGTATGCCCTCAAGTGGGCTTTCAACATAGAACACACCTGGCACTGGATCATATAAAAGTAGCAGCTGATCTGGGGGGCCATGCCACAACAAAGAAAGTGGCAAAGACGAGGTCTTATAGCGGGGGCAAGGCCAGGGCGAGCTTCTGATATTGGTGCAGATTGCTGATCTGACGAGGCATGGATCCCACGCAAAGCTTTCTCCACCCATGGAAGCTTGGACACATATGGCTCTGTGGTCTTCTATTGCCCGAGATACTGTGGTTCTCCCGAGCATACTGCTTCAGAAGAAGAGCAGACCACCAGTCTCGTAGCTGGCCTGTACATCCCCAACAACTGTGTAGCGACATGGTGATGCTGAACGACGGCCACTCATTTGTACATGAACTCTGAGCCTCTCGCCTGCTAGCTGCAATTTCCAATCATCAGTCGATCCCGGGCTGCGCCTTGCAATCCAAATGAACAAATCGTCTCGTCGTCATATGTCCAATACTCGTTTTGCCAGATAATAACACCGTGCAATGCGTCGAAGAGCATTTTTTGAAAGCTCATGGCAGAAGGTGTGGGCCTTATATAACACCACCCATTGCTCCTATCACGGCTCCAGCGCCAGCGGCATACATCATCCCCGGACACGCCGTCTGGCGCGGACCATTGTTTCCAATCTGAATAATCCCGTTGGTCCCAGCTGTCGTAGTGGGTGTAACGCCCGAGCCGCTGCCAAATACTGTGCACTGAGATACTTGTTGTAGGTTCGAACAACCCACTGAGCTTAACGAGCTGCAGATGCTGCTTGCAGCACTCAGAATGGTTCCCGACACTCCTTGTACCGTGATTCCACCGCCGTTAATGCCTCCCACCGTCACGCCATTGGCACCGGCCAGAGAGGTGAAGCAAGCAGTCGAGGCAACTTGACAGCTCGTGAATGCACTAGAGCACTGGTCTGCGTCGGGGAAGGAGGTCGGCGCGTAGATAAAAGGGTAGTATGAATTGGGTACCGTGGAGCCACCACCGCCGACTCCAGTGATCGAGATCGCGCCGCCAGTTGTTGTCGTTGTGGTTCCTATCACGGCTCCTGTTGTCGAGGAACTCGCGGTTGACCCAGTGAGAGTTCCGTCTATTGTTCCCGTGCATGCCACCCCCACCGAGCAGCAAGCGACTTGATCAGCTTGGTCTAATGTGCATGTCGTCCCCGAGGGACAGCATATGTTATTCGCTCCCAGACCCGAGCAAGAGTCGAGGCCAGCTTGACAACCCTGTCGCTTCACCAACACCCCATCTTCGGGGAGGCCTCCTAGAGGATTGGAAAACGGCGAGTAGTCGTGGCTCGAGCCACACGCGATGCGTAGGAAGGAGAGCAAAGCCAGAGATCGGACATGCATCTCCGGGGCGGTTTGGCCTTGCAGACAAGTTCAGAGGGTGGTTCACCGCCAAGGCATTTGCGGCCAGAGGAGGAATCAGCAGAATGCGGTGGGCTCGTTCGCGCGGCTGTCGGATGTTGTCCCAGTATGGTCTTGGATCTGAATATATTATTTCGCAGGAACAGCAATGCTCGAGGAGGAGACGGAGGTTCTACAGTGCACCCGGTGAAAAGGCGCAGGCGGTGGTGGCTTTCCCTTGACCAGCGCAGCCGACATCGTGGTAGCCCAGCAACGCCGCCACGACTTCGCTTTCGTCATCCCTTCACACATTTTGCGGCCTGGTCTTATTGCTCCTTCTGCCCTACGCATTCCCACAGCACATCGTGTATCTTCACGAGATGGGGGACACTTGAATGAATCTTGGATGGAGTGTAGAAACCGAAAGCTGACGAGGTAAGACTGATATTCGAAGCCCAAAATTCCCGTCCTGTTGGTGAGATGAGCAAAACGTGAATTCTGCAATGCTGAAGGATACACAAAATCTTCATGCTGAATTTCATACTTTACTAGACCTGACTATGCCGCACCTTCGATAAGCCAAGGCAACATCTGCTTTGAAAGGTACATACTGATTTTGCAGTGCTAGGTTACTGGCATTTTGAGCTAGCAGTGTTGGGATTGTTCCTACCGTAAGAGCCCAGCCGCCTTACAACAACCGCCCATTCAATTCTGTTGTCCGTCCGATAGGACCGAGCACCAGCCACGACCAATGCTAATTAAATCCTACCCTTTCCGATCAGTGGCATTCGTCGCTCTACAATCGCTCCGGGCTTCAGCTTCTCAGGCCAAAAGCTGGACGGTGATATGGAGTCCACGTAAATCACCCGTGGCACATGCCATTGCCCACCCCTTCTCCCCTGCTCGAACTGTCCCAAGAAGCTTAAGTCGGGTTCAATGTGCCTTTGAGCAAACGCTGTGTGAGATGCTTCCACATCAAGTTGAGCTCCGGGCAGAGAAGAGTGTCCGCACGTCCCAAGCCGACATCCAGAGACTGTATGTCCTGCCTGCGCCGCTCATAATTCATAGCAGCCCTGGATGGTTGTGCTTGTGCTCGTGCTCGTCGATTTACCATAAGTATGTGCCCATATAACCCGTACATTCCCTTTGGCAGTGAGCACACAAGCTATTCTGCAACACCACCATGATTCCAATTCCTCGCTTTGTCAAAGCTCCTCCTGTTTGACGAATACTCGGGCACGGAGCTCTAGCTTCATTGATTCGCAGCCCTTATTCCGCGCATCGGCTACCACTCCTTATGATCATCAAGGCGCTGCATCCGGCCCAGCTAGATTGTTACTATCAACGGACATATACTGTGTTAGCAGTCAATCATGTAACTTCCAAGAGCAATACCTGGGGTCCTTTCCACCGGCGCCAGAGCAAGTGTTGCACGTTCTCGTGCACGTTACTTGTTCCAGGCATGAGACTGGGCTTCAGTTGAGACTCAGCCAGCCGTCTGCCTCTCGGACAGTGCCCGGAGGCTGAGAGCTTGACCATTGATCAAGGAATAGAGAACCCCGGTATTCCTGCCAAGATTTTACGTAGCTTTTTTGTGGACTTGGTCTTGACGAAGGAGCGCTATATTTCGCTTGTATCGATGACTCTGATCAGGGAGGCAGGGCGTTGACTTGGCGAGCAGCTTCATCATCCAAGATGGAGGCTTCTGGCGTTCTGCCGTGCCTTAATTTTTTATCACCGAAACACAGCAATGACAACAAGGAGTCGGTGACGTCTGCGTCGAACCCTTTGCGCTCTTGGTTTGTTTACTGGTACGAGGTACAAGCTACTCCGTACACGACATGATGTTCGCTCACCTGTGCCTGACTCGTAGACTCGCTGAGCAGCTCGCTGGTCCAGAATCTAGACTTTCGATCGCTGTCTTAGCGGCCCACGTGGTCTTCCAACAACAAGCGCGACAATTATTGTCATCCCACAAGCTGCCTTCGATTCTTCACGCACAGCTGGAGACGCGCAGAAAGGGGTAATTCTGCCAGCCAGGGACCTGGGGTACGAGGTAGCATCGGGGCGGAACCACACTGCTAGGCTCGGAACTTGACCTGTCGAAGACTAACCCAGCACGCCCAGGTACCACGAGGACGGCATTGGAACAAAGGCGTCGACTCGTGCTCGACTGCCATTCGTTACACGGGAACGCCCTTCGCAGCTGGTCCTGCCCAGACTGGCGAAGTATTGTTACTCTAGAAGAACTTCAACCGACAACTGCAATTCGTCGCGCTGTCTGCGTTCAGGTGAAACTGACCCTTGCAGCTCGACCGGCACGACCGACTCGAGCAATGCATCATACCGCCAACGGATGCGTACAGGAGCCCGCTTTGACATACTATTCCGTCCTCTTCGCGGCATCCCCTTAGCTCCCATGATTAGCATTGTATCACAGCATTCTCCTTTGCCAGGGATCTGGTAAGTGCACATGCAGCAATCCACCCTCTCGGTATACAGAGTACTTCTTGCGCGTTGCTCCCTCGTGTTTCTTCCATCATGCATTCCGCTGTCAGGTTGTCAAGTCCACGGACCGCACAATGGTCGCAAACTCGTCCGTTTCTCTGGACACCACGCTCGACCCTTTACCTCCAGTCTTGCGGCACGGCTTGGTCGCCGTCGCATTCTTCGGCATCTTGTCACTCGTCTCCAGTGTCGCCCTCCTCACCTTCCTCACATATCGACTTTGTGTGTGGTACCATCGGGGTCAACTAAGAGATGGCGCCAATCAATTTCTGCTCCTCATCTATAATCTAGTCTTGGCGGATATTCAGCAAGCGATGGCGTTCGCTCTGACCTCAGTATATCTTTCGCAAGACAAGATTGAGGTTGGGACTACGACCTGCTGGGCAAACGGCTGGTTTGTGTCGACTGGCGACTTGGCGTCCGGAGTCTTTATCTTCGCCATTGCATTGCACACATATTTCGCCGTGGTGAGCGGACGCCGCGTCAGCAACAGGGTGTTCTACGGTGGAATCGCCTGCTCGTGGACCTTCATCTACTTGATGGCCGTCATTGGCGTTGGCTTGGATCCCAAGCTCTACCAACGGGCTGGGGCATGGGTCAGTATCAGTACATCATCTTCTTTCTGCAAGACTGATGGATGCGACAGTGCTGGATCAACAAAAGGTTTGACAAGGAACGATTGTGGCTCCACTACTTCTGGATTTTCATCTGCATGTTCGGTACCGTGGTCACATACATCCTCATATTTCTCTCCATCACAGCGAAGTCCCGGATCCGCCCCCAGGTCAATTTTCCGAATCACGACGGAAGTGATCCTGCCGCGATGAAACGAGCGGCGAAGTATATGATCATCTATCCCGTCGTCTACGTCGTCTGCACGCTGCCGCTCGCAGGTGGGAGGATGGCGAGCATGACGGGGATGACCGTGCCGTACTGTAAGGCTGTTCCAGAACGTGGAGAAGCGACTGTTGACTAACCGTGCTAGGGTGGTTTTGCCTTGCCGGTGCTGCCATCACCTCTTGTGGTTGGCTCGACGTCCTCCTCTACGCTGTGACACGACATGTCCTCATATTCAGGCGGGGTCCGCCTCCGCCGCAAGACCTGGGCCTGGATACTTTTGGCTGGAAGGATGTCGGAGACAGCTTCTGGGGGATGCGAACGACTATCACCGGCCCATTGGGGGATCCAAACACCCGCAGACGGGATAAGCGAGACTTTCTTGGGCGAAGGCCGCCGCGTCCGATATCGAGGCAATCGGACGAAGCTCACTTTGCGGGCCAGCCAGAGGGCATCATCACAGCCAAAACCACGATCGAAGTGCGATCGGGCCCTATAATCAACTACGCTGATTCAGACATCAGTGCTATAGAGATGGAGGACAAGTCGGATCGGACTCATTCTCATTCCCGGAATGAGTGAGGCATTGAAGCCGCGCACATTCGGTGGGATAGCACATGGGGCCATGACGAAGCGATGAGGGAGGAACGTATGAGAACTACGGCTAATTGTGTTAACATAAAGAGCTAGACCGGCTTTGTATATATGGGATATTGCGTATGTGCACGAGCGAGATCACATTGAATTTCCGGTGGTTTTGACAACAGAATTGCGTACCATTTTCGTGTCCATAAAGCGGCAGCCGCCTCGGCACACGCCATTGCGGGCTGAACTCGGGGGTAGGTGCAGCTACGAGTACGTACCTACCCCGACTACGACTACTGAATGCTGCTCGGACTCACGGAAGAGGCCAACAACTCCATACTCTTCGTCGATAACACTCAATCCCTCCGCGCCCATATCTGTACGGTGCCGGGAAGAGCTTGTCACCCTCACCAGTTCCTCATCACAATGCTGTAGATACCACCCGCCTCCTGCGTCAGCGAGCATCGTCCCTTCTTAGCTTCCACCAACCCCTCAATCATGGAACGATATCCACGAGTAGCCCTATCCGGGGTGACACGGAGTCTCAGGGCTTTGCGGAGTTCTCGAGCGTATGCCACGACCTCTCAGCCCACTCTTCGAACCGCTCTCTTCTTTCCCGGTCATGGCGTCCAGAGGAAAGGCATGACCAAAGACTGGGTGGAAGCATTTCCCAAAACGTGTAAACCATTCTTAGAAGAGATGGATGACATAGTCAAATGCAAGCTATCCACCTTGATTGAGGAAGGGCCTATTCTGCAGCTGGATAAGACGGAGAACGCCCAACCGGCGATCATGGCCGTGTCCATCATGATTCTGAGAGTACTCGAGCAGGACTTTGGTTTCAAGACCGAGGAGGTGATCGACGTCACACTGGGTCACAGCCTGGGTGAATATGCAGCCCTCGTCGCTGCGGGCAACCTGGAATATGCATATGCTCTTGACCTGGTCCGGAAACGCGGCGACGTCATGGGAGAATGCACGAGGAAGGCAAAAGAGGAATCAGGTGAAGAATTCGGCATGATCGCTCTCGTCTGTGAGCCACAACAGTTGGAGGGGTTGATCGCAGCTGTCAAGGAATTCCTTGGCCATGGTGCTGAAGGCACGAAAGACGACTCCAGCGCACTTCCGGCGGTGGAGCAGGTCGCGATTGCTAATATCAACTCGAAGAATCAGATAGTCTTGAGTGGCAGCTTCCAGCGAATCCGGAATATGCTCGTCCATCTTCGCGAGTTTGGCGGACACGATCCACGAGCTGTTGAGTTGAAGTCGCGTTCAGCATTCCACAGCCCGATCATGATGCCGGCCTACGAGTTCATGAAGAAGGCCTTGCATCCGGAAAAAGTGGTGTTCCCGGGACGAGTCCCCTGCATCAGCAATGTCACCGCCACGCCGTTCAGCTCGAAGGAAAATCTGATCAATAATCTCGCGAGGCAGGCCGTCGACACTGTACTCTGGTGGGATTCCATCAAATACCTGGACAAGGAAGCCGGGTGCAAACGATACCTCGGGGTAGGGCCAGGCAAGGTCGGCCGTAACCTCATCAGTAAATCGATTGACGGACCAGTCTGGTCGATCACGAAGCCATCAGAGATTGAACAGACTCTGCGGGAACTGGAAGCCAGCACGAAGGAGGAAGTCAAATAACAACAGCAGAAGTCCATGATGCAGGGGAGACCAGGGGAAGGCCGTGAATCCTCTAAGGGGCACATGGTGGTTACTTGCTCGCTGCGAACAGGTAATCGAGACCTTCTGCGGGTTACGTACCCTGAAGGCATGGAAGCTGAGCGACCGCCACTGCAAACGCCTATGCCCGCACAACAAGAGAGCCCATGAAGGCGGTCTAGAGGTGCCGATGGTCGGGGGCAATTCACTATGGTCGACCGCGCAATGAGAAACATCGGTAGTCACATGATGAGCCGGAAATCCTGGTTTTATATTCCAATTCAACAAAAAGTTGTTCAAAATCACCAAGACCCCTAATCTGGCGAGTTCAGGTCAAATCACTCTGGCGACGGTCCAAATCAACAAAGTGAGAGGCGGCTCCCAGTTAGGCGAGAGAGTTCGAGTCCCAGGGTGTTCAGGGCATCATTTGATGTGACGAACTGGCATCGGGCCAGAAGGCATTCACCCTCGATAGAACTCTCACCTTCGATCCAATCTCGACCGACCGACCTAGCGAACTCGAATCGATCCGATCCGCGATAACGTTCCGATAAAAGTGTTTGCCTACTTGACAAGTCAAATCGGTGTTCAGCAGAACACGAGATGAGGAGTAGACCGGGGTGGCCACCTCGAGTATAGCCTGATCAGAGAAGTAGCTGTGGTTACTTTTTGTGTCTTTGGAAGAGGCTAGCATTTATTTCCTGTGTGCCTCTTTTGTGAAGTTATATCGGTTTAGTCCATCGGCCGATGCTAGCGATAGGAGTGGTCAATATAGCTCAAAGCTTAGATCATTGTAACGCCGAACCTGACTCTGAGCATACCAGGTAGTGTTGTATATACCCGTTTCGATTTCTCTTCTATTTATCCTCCCCCCTCCACTGTATAGCTAGGCATCAGCAGAGGGTACTAGATATACCATCCATATGCAAGGCTGGATACGAGGTATTCCCCAGAGCACGTGGGTCTGGTGTTTAGCGAATTAGCGGGGAACACAATCACATGTCAGATCTGTCACGACGTCAGTTTCTCCTTTCTCATCTCCCAGTCACTCGAGTCTTAGTTTCCTGCTCCTTCTTTCCCGTGCCGTCTTCGCGGTGTCGTCTGCCCTCTCTTCGTTGACCCCTTCCTAATTGGCGACAATTCCCTCTCCCACTTCATCTCTAGCATGCCTATCACCTGGCTTCAATGAGTGAATATCTCCCCTCGTTCATTGTGGAACCTGTCCTGCGCCAGGCACGGCGATTCTCTCGACTCAGCACCACCGCAGAAGAATCGCCCGGTTTCCTCCCTGCCGTCCCCGATCTGCAGCGCTGGAGCCCCGCTCGTTTTTGGACTACATCGCCTCCTCTTTCGCTGGAAGATCCTATTGTCGAGCCGACCGCTGAGAGCAGAGAGACCACGGTCCAGTCCATCACCAGAACCATCCAACTATGGGCTGCCCAACTCAACAGCTTCGACACCATTCCTTCTCCTCTTCTGGAGCCAATGGATGACCTGGTGGGAGAGCCGGCTCAACATACGCTACGGCAAGAGCCGTCCACGACCGAATTTCCTGCGCTCGAACCTGATCTAGAACCTCCTCCGCGACCTGTCCGCCTCGAAGCCCTTCGGAATGACAGCGAAACCTCCCTGAATCCTGCCAACGAGTTATCCTATCAGTCTCGAGTCCATGAAGATAACTCAAGGCCTCATGCGACATCTGACCCCGTTGCCACGCCCGATGGGGAATCAACGCGGCTAAGACGGGGAACAGGTACACAGAATGGAGGAGATAATGTCGGCGGCCGGAGAAGAGACGGGTCAGGAACCCTGCCAGAAGATGATGGCATGGGAGCTCTCCGACAGAAGATCAGCGCTATATGGTCAGGCCCCGGAACCGCCGCAGAAAAGTCGAAGCTTGTCCATGGCTTGATGATGGAACGGTATCAGAAAGGCCATGCTGGGAAACGCTCTTCTCTGAAAGCACTCGAACTGCCTCATCGCTCAGACTCCCCCACCTCGACGATTTCCGCCGTCGGCCAGGAAATCAACTGGAGTCTGACCGAGAAGGACCTTCAGCCAACATACGCACCAGTGCACCCCGACGACATGAATTCGTCTGGAGAGTTGGCCAAACCGGCGCTTGGCTGCGTTCATTACATACGTAATGTGAAAATGCAGTGCAGCAGTTGTGAAAGATGGTACACCTGTCGGCTCTGCCATGACGAGGCAGAGGACCATACTTTACCGCGGCGAGAAACTAAATACATGCTTTGCATGCTTTGCAACACCCCACAAGCCGTGGGTCAGGTTTGCAAGAAGTGTCAGGTCCCAGCCGCTCATTACTACTGCCCCATCTGCAAATTGTGGAACAACGACCCTGACAAGTCGGTCTATCACTGTGACGACTGCGGTATCTGTCGACTCGGCGAAGGTCTGGGCAAGGACTTCTTCCACTGCAAGACATGCGCCGCTTGCATGTCGATCGCGGCCGAAAGCACCCATAAATGCATTGAACGGAGCACCAAGAGCGATTGTCCCATCTGTGGGGAATACATGTTCACCTCAAATAAGCCCGTTGCGTTCATGCGATGCGGCCACAGCATTCACGAAGCATGCTTTGCCGATTGGTGCAATACCAGCTACAAGTGTCCAATCTGCTCCAAGAGCATTGCAAACATGGAGAGTCAATTCCGACGGCTCGACAGACATATCGAAGAACAGCCCATGCCCGAGGAGTATCGTGACAATCGAGCGTACATATTCTGCAACGACTGCAACAGCCGCAGTGTGACGAGCTATCACTGGCTTGGGCTGAAATGCACCATCTGCGAATCTTACAATACGGCTCAACTGGAGCTCCTGGGAGCAGAGGAAACACCTCAACTTCAGGAACAGCAGCAGCAGGCTCAGCAGGCAGGAACTTCTGAGGCAGCGCTTACGGCGAGCCAGAGCCATACGCCTACAGGTGAATTGACCCAGCCCGTCGATATTGCTAGAGCCTTCGGCGAGGTCCAGCCGCGTCCCGTAGAGTCGAGGCCGACTTCAGGAACGCCATTGAGCAGATCGTCCTGGCTACTACCCCATTCACCTACCGCTCGGTCGACTCGTTCCATGTCACCGGTTGTCGGCAGTTATTTCGGCACAGGACCACGATCATCAGGGACACCTGAGGCGCTACCCTCCCGACGTGGCACTACACCCTTGGACGACGACGAGGATCTCGATTTCTGGGGTCGCCCATACTCACCTCGGCGAGGTGAGGCTGAAGGAGATGACTCCGAGTCCGGGTCTGAGTCCGAGAGTGACCCTGACGACGTGATGGAGGACGATGATGACGAAGAAGACGCGATGGA